ATCCCTCCTCTTCTTCCCTTCTCATTCTCCTACTCCCTCCCCCCTATTCCTGTGCTCCCAATTTTCTCAGGAGATCTTGACCCTTTCCCCTTCTCCAGGGGACCATGTATGTCTGTCTTAGGGTCCTCCTTATTTGCTAGCTTCTCTGGCAATGTGGATTGTAGGCTGCATCCAGTGCTCTTAACCACTGAACCATCTCTCCAGCCATGCTTGTCATACCAGTATTTTGCTGCTCTAAATCTCCTTGTGTAGACATCTTGTGAATTGTGGAAATATACTCTGAAGTTCTGTTCCTAGAGGGATAATGCTTGATATATATTTTTTACACAATTAGAATGTTTAGATTAAAATTTTAATAGGAATATTTTATATACACATACATACATACATACACATGTACATGCATACACATACACTTTTCTTTTCCAAATGCCCACCCCCCAATAATTCCTAGGTGCTCATTGGTTCCAATATTTAGACAAAGACAACTAGTTCAGATACCTCATCTAGCATCTTTCATGTAAAGGGAAGTTTTCACTTGTGAAAGACAAGAAAAGTTTTATTAGTTTCAATAAAGAAGTGTATATAGTGTATAAAGAAATGTAAATAGCCGCTTTGGTGGTGCATGCTGTAACCCCAGCCCTCTGGAGACTGAGGCAGGAGAATCCCCAGTTCAAGGCCAGCATGGGCTACATAGTGAGGCTGACTCAAGAAAGAAAACATTAGATGGGGGTGGGGGAGTCTACAAATAAAATAACTGACTAAATCCCTGCACAAGACCAGGGCTCATCAACATTCCATCACAGGTGGGGGAGGGGCTCATGAGACCCCACCTTCTCCTGAAGAGCTGTAGACAGTTAATAGTTGCTCGGAGACATATTCCCAGTGTTGTAGCCACTGGTAAGTTGCCCTGCTCAAATGGATGACCCCTTACTCATGCTCATTCAAGCAACCCTAACTAAATTCAGTAGGGGATCAACACCCCCTACACACACACACACACACACACACACATACACAACATACACACACACACATTTTAAGTCTTACACTTACACCCAGGAAGCTAAGAGGACTCCTTGTTGAGAAGCAGAAAGGTTTGTCAGTATAAGGAAGGGGGTAAGAGAGGGCAAGGGTATGAAGTGCGGTGTATAACTGTGTGAAATGGAAAAAAAATAAGTAAAACAATATAGCTGGTTACTTTTCTGATTAGACTGATTTAATCTTTCTGCATACTTAGTTCTTCCTATGTCTAAAGTTGAAACACGTTAGAGCCCTGGTTATATTGACTTGGATTGGTTTTATAAGTTCATACATGAGAGGTAAAGTTACTGTTATAGAACAAGCAGTAGACATTGGCTGAGTCTTTTGAATGGTGAACGAGAAAGATAGCTGAGTGTAAAATTGAAAATTCCTGTTACAGATTGCTGGATAAATTTCCTACCTCAAGAACTGGCTTTGCAGCTTTGCAATTGGCTCATCTTAGTCATACTTTTTCTCGTTCCATCAGGGTTATATTCTCCTCTTGCAAACCTATTTGAATGATGGCTCTAAGGGCATGTCACTCTCAGGAAGACCATACATCTCCTGTGACAGTTTCTCACTACTACAGCCAGCCGGCCAACCTGTGGACCCTTGCCTCTCCAATGCTGGGATGACAAGCATGTGCCACACATGGCATTTTTACATGGGTCTGAGGAATAAAATCAGGTCCTTATGCTTGCAAGGCAGGTGCTGTTGTTAAGGATTCAGGCATTATGCTGGTCTGCCCCCTGTCACCTGGCAGAATGCACTCAGGCAGTACCCTGGTCAGCCCAGGTGCAAAGGACCCCTTTAAAAGACAGACCCCTACCCTCTTTCCCCTTTCTTTCTGCTCTCTTTCGTGAGCACTTTCCCCCCCCCCCCCCCCCACCCCCGCTGTTCCCCTGGGGCAGACAGGACTTTTCCTGTCTCCCTCTTCTCTTCTGTCCTCTCTCTGTGTCTCTTTACCTCTTTTCTCTGTCCCCTTCCCTTTCTAATGAAACTTCCACTAAGCACTGTCTGCCTGGCATGTTGGTTCCTCCACCTGGGTCACCCTCACCTGCCATGGAATCTGCCAAGTCCCTTCAAGCTTCATCCTAACAGCTGTACCAGCTAAGCCTTCCATCCCCCAGCTGTACCCACTAAGCCCTCCATCTCCATCTAAATTAATTGCTTTCCAGAAAAGCTGCTTGATCTTTAGTTCTCTGTTGAATCAAGATATTTTGTTCCTTTATTCTTTTAGACTATAATTGCTTGTTGCTGGTTAGAAATGAAAAAGGAGTGAGTCGTGGGGGGGGGGCGATGAAAGAGACTGAGAGAGGTTAATGGAATGATGGATGGGTGGATAGAAATTCTACTTTAGATAGCCTCACAAGTAAAGTAGGTTACTTGGGGGGGCACTTATAACGAACCCCACATAAGATATTTTAGCTACCCAATCTAAGCTACCTCTGAGGCTCAGAAAAATTTGAGTAGGCAAATTAGTTGTTGCTTCAATTAAGCATTTACTGTTTTGTCAGTAATTTGTATGTAATTCAACTGAGCATCGGTTTGATCAAAAGTAACCACAAAGTCCACGTTTATAGTATTGAGAGTTAAAATCACTGATAAAGTTGTAATGTTATAAGTGTGTGTCCTATAATTTTGCAGAATGGAAGCTTCTTGCCTTGAGCTGGCCTTGGAAGGAGAACGCCTGTGTAAATCAGGGGACTGCCGTGCTGGCGTGTCATTTTTTGAAGCTGCAGTTCAAGTTGGAACTGAAGACCTCAAAACACTCAGTGCTATTTACAGCCAGCTGGGCAATGCTTACTTCTACTTACATGACTATGCCAAAGCGTTAGAATATCACCACCACGATTTAACTCTTGCAAGGTAATTTCAGCTTTTTATATTCTCCCTCTCTCTAAATTAAAAAAAAAAAAATCTTCTGTTCACTTAAAAAAACCAACAGTATATTAAATGACTTCTAATTTAATGACTTACTTTTGAAAACTAATTTTTAGGCAAAACAGTTTAATTGAACAGTAATGAAACAGCCCTAGAGCTTAATCAAATGGATGAAAATTAACTATAGAAATGCTTTTAAAAATGCTTTTTTTAATTATTTAAAATAGGTTTCAAGAGTAATGAATTTTATCTTAACTGTGCCACTTGTCCTCTAGGAAAACTGTTCTTTGACTTCTTTGTATTTTCTTTTAGCTTTTTGTTTGTTAATTTGTTTGGTTTTTAGTTTTTTGAGACAGGGTTTCTCTGTGTAATATCCCTGGCTGTCCTGGAACTCACTCTATAAACCAGGCTGGCCTTAGAGATCCACCTGCCTCTGCTTCTTAAATGCTGGGATTAAAGGTGTGTGCCACCACCACCTGGCTGAATTTTATTTTTTTGGAGACAGGCTTTGGAGGCTGTCCTGGAACTAGCTCTTATAGACCAGGCTGGTCTCCAGCTCACAAAGATCTGCCTGTCTCTGCCTCCCAAGTGCTGGCTTTAAAGGAGTGCGCCACCACCGCCAGGCTGTCTCTTAATTTTTAAAAATAGTTTTAACATCATTCACTTTTCAAATGTATTTCCTAGGACTATTGGAGATCAACTGGGAGAGGCTAAAGCCAGTGGCAATCTTGGAAACACCTTAAAAGTGCTTGGGAATTTTGATGAAGCCATAGTGTGTTGCCAGCGACACCTGGATATCTCCAGAGAACTTAATGACAAGGTAACAAAGATGGTAGGACAGATGATGGTTGTTTCACCGACATAGTTTTGTATTCTAATACTACTTCCATAGTTTATCTATAAAGTCAAATATTCATAGACAAAAGTAAAAGTTTTAGAAAACTAGATTTTTAAAAAAAATAGGAAAAGCAAATAGCAAAAGGTCTGTCCCTCTTTGTGTGTAATCATGTATTTGACTTTCTGTGAATGGGCATTGGGGACACTTCTTTTCCTTGACAATAGTACTGAGGATATTATAAATATATGAGGCTGGCAAGATGGCTCAGTGGGTAAGGGCACTTGCTGTGCAAGCCTGGTGACCTGACTTCAATCCCTGCAACATGCAGAAGGGTGTAAGGAGAAACTCATCTCCACATGTGCCCTGTGGCATGTGCACCACCACACACATGCACACACATGATAATAACACATTAAGTAAGTACATGGGATAAGCAGTGTAAATATCCCCACCCCATCTCTGATTTTAGAATGTGAGCTTTGTTGTCATCTCCATCTAGGTGGGAGAAGCAAGAGCACTCTACAATCTTGGAAATGTGTATCACGCCAAAGGGAAGAGTTTTGGTTGCCCTGGTCCCCAGGATGTAGGAGAGTTTCCAGAAGAAGTAAGAAATGCCTTGCAAGCAGCTGTGGATCTCTATGAGTGAGTAGAGACGGTGTGGTCCTGCCACCCGCCCAAGTGCCTCATGGGTGGTCTTCACTCAGTAGGAGGTTTCCAAGTTTGTCAGAGATGTAGAAATAGCCAGGCGGTGGTGGTATACACCTTTAATCCCAAGGGAGGCAGAGGCCAGTGTGGTCCACTGAGTGAGTTCCAGGGCAGCCAGGGCTACACAGAGAAGCCCTGTCTCGAAAAACAACAAAACAAAAAAGACTGTGAGCTAATCTTTAGCTGGCTGCGGTAGCGAAGTTTGAAAGTAGCCTGGTCTACATCCTGGGTTAAAGGATGACATATTGTGGTCCCATCTCAAACAAAACCAAAAACCTACACCAAAAACTGATAGGCTAACCATTGGAAGCGGCTGTTTAAATGTTACTGTGCTGCTAGAAAACTGCAGTCTCACTTAAACTGTAGACCAGTGCCCCTTAGTGGTGAAAGCAAGAAATATCAATGCTTGGATTGATTTATTTGGAGTAAATTTAGTGTTTGGCCAGTAGAATTCCATACAGTTAGTTGCCTAGCTGTAGGGCTCCAAGATCACCTCTTGCTGATTCTGAATAAAAACCTACAGCCAACTGTTTCAGTGAATAAAGGATTCCAGCCATTTCATTACTGCCCTACTTCAGAGCGTACCTTTAAGATACTGTCATTATAAGCTTTTAATGATAAATAGAATTAACTCTGGGGCCAGGAGTCTATCCTGGTGGCCATCGCTTGCCAAGCATGCATGAGGCCTTGGGTTTAAATCCCCAGCTATTAAAAAATAAGTTGTCTGTAACTCAACTAAGAACTTTTCCCTAAACTTACTTTTTCACCATTTTTTGTCATCACTAAGGGAAAACCTGTCGTTAGTAACTGCTCTAGGTGACCGAGCAGCCCAAGGACGAGCCTTTGGGAATCTTGGCAACACACACTACCTCCTTGGCAACTTCAGAGATGCAGTCATAGCTCACGAACAGGTAAACAGAAGGCCTCGGAGCCAGATCATTTTCTCAGCAGAGTGGAGGACAGTGATTGGAGAGTCTTCAGTGCCCTTGCCTCTCTGATGAAGGTTTTCTGTTCCAGCGTCTCCTTATTGCCAAAGAGTTTGGAGATAAAGCGGCTGAAAGGAGAGCATACAGCAACCTTGGAAATGCATACATATTCCTGGGGGAATTCGAAACTGCCTCCGAATACTACCGGTTAGTCAGGCATTCTTGTGGATAAGCGTAAGATGAGTAATTATGTGTCCTGTAAAACACAGTGGGCTTGGAGGGTGAGGCCTGGCTATTGATGTGTGCCAGCAGCCGGGCCTAGGCTCCTTATCTGAGGTAGGCATCAGCATCTGGGTTTGGGGACGTCACCAGCAAACTGGGTGAAAGGGAATGTTGAGAACTTAGCTGCTCAGAAAACACTGTATTTGAATTTGCAGTCCTCCTGTCTCTGTCTCCTGAGTGCTGTCACTGCAGGCATGCACCATCAAGTGTAGCCTTTTCCTAATACTTGATAGCAGCAGTATGGCTTCCTTTATGTTTTTTTTTAATTACTTTTATTTTTTACAACTTTAAATACAAAGTTCTAAACTTCTAAAGTCCTTTATAAACCCATTTAGCATGTAGGATGTATGTGGGTATATGCTTTATCTCACCTAGTGGTAAGAGAGGCCAAAAGAAAGTGGTAACTAGGTCTTATCTGAAGAGTATTAAAGTTTAAAAAAAAAAAAATAGGCCTTAGCCTCTACTAATGACCATTGAATTTTTCCCTCCTGCCCCACCCCTTAGCCAGCAGTTCTTTCCTTGCCCAGCATTGACTCCACCAAAGCTAAGGCTCTGTTCACCCACCTGCAGCATTGCCAGCTTGAGCTTCTATGTCAGGACCCCTGGAGCCCATCGATAGGTTGGCAACAGATGGTAGTAGCAAAGTCTTAACCCACTTCATGTCGTCTGCCCTGTCCCTTCTAGACTGTAGGGTTTTCTCTGAGCAGTGGGCTTTGAACACAGATTTAGACTGAACCAAAAGCACAGGTACTGACTATTGCTAACACTTAAGAGATTCCTATATATAGAATTCAGAGTTTGTCATTAAAACAAAAACAAAAACAGTGCTGGCTTTTTGGTGTTTGCCTTCCCCAGGTCACTAAGCCAGCCCATCTTTAGGAGTATCTGTTTCTTAATAAACTTGCTCTATTTTTATTACTTCACAAAGAAAAATCTGGGTGCGTGGCACATGCACTTAATCCCCAACACAAGAGGTGTAGGTAGGTGGATCTCTCTGAATTTGATGCCAGCCTGGTCTCCAAAGTGAGTTTCAGGCCAGTCTGAGGTACACAGTGAGGTACACTGAGACAGTGAGACCTGTCTCAAAAAACAGAGAAAAGAAAAAGCTGAAGTTGCTCTGTCCATCTGAAACATTAAATGGCACTGTTTTTCTTTAAACTTCTACCCACGGTTAATATTGATTGGTTGACTATTGATTAGCTCAGTGGTTCTCAACCTTCCTAATGCTTCAACCCTTTCATACAGTTCCTCATGTTGTGGTGACCCCAACTGTAAAATTATCCTATTGCTACTTCATAACTGTAACTTTGCTACTTTTATGAATCATAATATAAATATCTGATATGTAGGATATCTGATATGCAACCCTGTGAAAACAGTCATGACCCACAGGTTGAGAAACACTGAATTAGCTAGATATGAAATTTCCTTCCTGATTTGTCATGTGAGGAGTATAATTTACATTTTGATTTTAACAATTTTAACTGTCAAGTGTCATATAATTTAAAGCCAAGAATACAGAAAAGTATTCATTATTAAATGTGCCTGTGTTAAATATTGAAATGTCCTGTTAGAAATTGGTTGATGGCTTTTTGACTGAAGAAGTATGAGTTCACTGTGATGGCTTGCTTCCCCGAAGCAAGCAGGTTAGAACTCAGAAATTTAGCCTGAGTTCCAAAAACATAGTTTAGTGATGCTTTTGGAACTCACCCTCAGAATTGTCTTCAGGCCCATGTAAAAGTGTGTGACTCGAACTTTTCAGGATACAAGCAGTGCTTGGCAAACAGAACTAAGTAATTGAATTTAGTTCTAGAAAGGTTTCTGATCATTTATAAGTCAGCTATACAGAGAATAATGGTGGACCAGAACAGCTGTACAGTGGGGTCTGAAGGCAGTTCCTGAAGTCTCAAAAATGCCAGTGAGAACCAGTCAATCTGTTAGAATAAGCATGTAATGTCTCAGCGTGACAGCTCTGGAGTTATCATCATTTTGTACATACTTCAAATTTGTGTTCTTGAAAAGACCTGTCTTATTACCCTATTTAAATTTTTAAGTAGTTATGGGTGGTATGAAGTAATTGTGCTTTTGGCAGAAATTATGGAAAAGGATCATTTAGATTATTAAACCAAAGGCATGTGTAGGTTTAAGCACTGATAGGGTTTATATACATACCGATTCCTCTCAACTTTCCCAGAAACCTTGTGAGGTATTCTCCCTCCATTATATTTATGAGAAAACTGACAGGGGACCTGAGTAGCTTGCCCTAGAGCACATAGCTAGCAATGGTAGGATCTGAATCAGACAGTACTGTTCCAGACCCTTGTTCTAACAGGTCACACCAACTTCTTGCTGACAATACTACATGTGTTAGGTAGAATTTGGGTAATGTCCAATGAAATGCTTGGTATTTTTTATGAATCAGTGACTATAAACCTACATCTAAGGATTTTCCCTAAATATTATAAATGTTGACAGATGGTAAAGATAGTAGTAGAATTAAAGATACAAATATGAAGACTTGAGTTCGATCCCCTGCACCCACCTAAAAAGTTAGGCAGAGTGGTGTTACCTGTAACCCCAAGTGCTTGGAGCAGAGATGCAGAGACAAAGATCTCTGGGGTTTGCTGGAAGACACCAGACTGATATCAATCAACTCTAGGCCTCCACATGACCCACAGGCACACATGTATGTGCACAAGACAACTCTTACGTGAACACGTGTAAGTTACTGCCAGCACGAAGGGATGAGATCTTCTAAATATCTCAAATATTTCCATTCTCTAGAGGCATTTTGATCTCATGCTTCGGCACTCCTGTATTTTGTTGAGCTATTAGGACTCGTAAAGTCTGAATCCATTTTTTTCACACTTTAAAACATCTTTTCGCTTTTCCTAAAGTAATAGGAAAATATATTGAACTCTCAAACAGACTTATTTAAAAGGTGGCGCAAAGCAACAGAGATGGAAAATGTCAGCATTCGGTTCTTAGAACCAAATTTAAAATGAGCATCATGTGAATTATTGGTTTCTCTTAGGAAGACACTGCTGCTGGCTCGGCAGCTTAAAGACAGAGCCGTGGAAGCCCAGTCTTGCTACAGTCTTGGGAACACATACACTTTGCTTCAGGACTACGAGAAGGCCATCGATTATCATCTGAAGCACTTAGCAATTGCTCAAGAGCTCAAGGATAGGTAAGTTACCCTGTTGCTGAGTTCAGTAATGCAGATACCTTATTGAATTCCAGCTTTTGGCTCTGCCTCCCGAGTGCTGGGATTACAGTCTGGCCACTGCATATTTTTAAAGACTGTTTCCAAGTTTTAGTATTTTTTATTTGACTTTGAATTTGGTGCCGTTTCTCTGTCTAGAATCCTCATTGCTCTAGCTGAAGGCTAAGTAAATACAAAGCATGCTTTAAACCTTTAATTATTGCTTGGCTACGTTTATTCTGTACTCTTTGCACCTGATTTCAGATAACTGTGTGTTAATTTTGAATTATATTTTAGGATTGGCGAAGGAAGAGCATGTTGGAGTTTAGGAAATGCATACACAGCTCTGGGAAATCATGACCAAGCAATGCATTTTGCTGAAAAGCACTTGGAAATTTCAAGAGAGGTATGAAGCAAAAGAAATCACCACCTGTCCTGTTGTCATTGCAAATCCGTGATGGGGTAGGGTGTTTTTCCAGAACATTTATACAGCTGTATAAGCAGATAGGTGAGTGTATTGCCTTGACCTGGGGAGACAATAAAATGAGCTGGGGCATATGGGAATAGGATGTTACCAAAACACTCCATCTTCCTACCCTCAGTCCCATGTAGAGGAATATCATGGTTTTTAAAGAAAACGTTGATATTTAGAATCAAGGACTGGCTTTTGTTATACCTGATGGCTATTTGAGCTTAGATACCTTTCATATGTAAAATGGGAATGGTCATAGATACCTTGGGAATTGGGTTTTTTGTTTTGTTTTGTTTTGTTTTTTTTCTCTCCTGTTTTGTTTTGTTTTATGACAGGGTTTCTCTATGTAGCCCTGTCTGTCCTAGAATTCCTTCTGTATATCAGGCTGGCCTTGAACTCAAAGAGATCTGTATGTCTCTGCCTCCCAAGTGCTAGGATTAAAGACACGTGCCACCAGTGCCCCTGCCTTGGGAATTGTTCACACACACACACACACACACACACACACACACACACACACACACACACAATGTTCACCATTTACTAGCGTCACTGTAACATGGAAATGCTTATGGTTATAGGTTGGGGACAAAAGTGGGGAACTGACAGCGAGGTTGAATCTCTCAGACCTGCAGATGGTCCTTGGCCTGAGCTACAGCACAAATAATTCCATGATGTCTGAAAATATTGAACTTGATGGCAGCTTACATGGTAAGTAGCAGCTTTAAAATCTACTTCTTTATGCTGAAGATTTACTTTACATTGAGGAAAAGAAAGGATCTTTTAAATGGCTAATGAGGCATGTCTGCTGTGCTCGGAGTGCGTGCGTGCAACAGAAGTGTACTTCTCTCACCTTTTGTGGTTTTACACAGTTCAGTTAACCCATAAACACAGAACACAGCATTTCATAATTCTTACTGTGAACAGAGGAATGATAAAGGTATAATTCTTTTCTTTGGTTAAAAAAAATTCACATGCTGCTAAATTAATCTGTGGGTTAATTCAGAAATCTATAAATATGAAGATGCTAGAACAAAAACATTTGGTCTATCCCTTTATATTTCAAGTGGTGTAATATATGTGATTTTTAGTAAGCTTTTTTTCTCCCCTATTTCACTTCTGATGAAATAGCTTGGGATGGATGTCTCTTTTTTTTTTAATCAGAAAACTTAGGAAATCTTCTACCTATATGTGACTCTGAAATACATTTTTAAACTCGGTTCCATGAGTTACAGACATGGCTCAAGGGTAAAGTACTCACTAGCAAGCCTTACAACGTGAGTTCAAGTCCCAAAACCCACATGGTAGAAAGAGAGAACCAACTCCAAAAGTTGTCCTCTGAACTCCACGCTGGCACTATGGGCACATGCACACCCCCCCAACAATAAATAAATAAATGAAGCTTTAAAAATATATTTGTTCCTAAGCTTAAATTCACAATCGAGGGCTAGAGAGCTGGCTCAGCGGTTTAAGCACTGGGTACTGTCTCAGAAGTCCTGAGTACTCCACGCTGGCACTATGGGCACATGCGCACCCCCCCAACAATAAATAAATAAATGAAGCTTTAAAAATATATTCGTTTCTAAGCTTAAATTCACAATCGAGGGCTAGAGAGCTGGCTCAGCGGTTTAAGCACTGGGTACTGTCTCAGAAGTCCTGAGTTCAAGTCCCAGCACTGACATGGCAGTTCCTAATTGTAACTCTAGTTCCCTCCTCTGGCCTTCAGCACCAGGTACAAAAGTGGTGCACAGGCTTATGTGTAGGCAAAACACCCACACACAAATTAAAACTTAAAAAAATAATCAAAAGCTGTACAGATAGTCTTAGGATATTCAAAGAGCATACGATTCTGAAGTGTGGGATGTGTAATGAATTGCAATTATACTTTGTATAAATGGTTCAAGTTTTCCAGGGTTTAACTTATGAATTGGTATATTGTAAGAATTCTCATCTATAAAACTGCCATGTGTGCTCATGAGCCACAGAGCATACTAGAGTCTCCTTTGCCTCCTCTTGTCATGGGAAGCCACTCACTGGATTTCCACTGCTAGCACAGCACCTCACCACTTGGCAAGGTCACTAGGAACCTGTGTTTTACCAAATCAACTCATCGGGTTTCCAATGCCGTTTGCCTTTGCTTGCTCGGCAGTATTTCACTCGTGAATATAAATTCAGAATCCTAAAAACAGAACAAAACAAATCCAGGGAAGTATTTTAGAGCAAACCTTTTTAATGGGGCACGCTGGATGCCTACAGTTTTGTTTGAGTGACAGCAGAACCTGGACTAATCAATACTGTGGACACACAACATGCTCAGTTCTCAGACTGCCCCGCTCTCGCTAAATATGTACATAGTTTTGAAAACAGAAGCTAATAACAGAGTCTAATGTAAAACAACCAGGATTCAACTAGAACCAATATCAGAAAATCAGTTAATGTAATTTACTGGTAAACACAGTAACTATGAAAATAGCCCAAATATCCAAATGGATCTATAATTCTTTTACATACAAATACTTCATTTAAGAGTATCAGATGAGCCCGGCGTTGGTGGCGCACACTTTTAATCCCAGCACTTGGGGAGGCAGAGGCAGGCGGATCTCTGTGAGTTCGAGGCCAGCCTGGTCTCTGAAAAAAGATTTATAGCACAGAAACCAAAAGGAGATAGCTGTGTTAGTTCTGGGACAGATATGCTTAAGAGAAAAGGTCTGTGGCAAGCGTGTGGCTCAGCTGCAGGGATGCTTAAATAGCATGTGTGAGGTCTCAGACGGATCCCTAGAAAGAACGCGATAGCAAATCTGTATAGAGTGGGGCTTACACAGGCAGGTTTTATATGTTGTTCATACTTTAAAGCTGGATGTTAGGAATCAGCTATGCTTTATATTATGCCCCTTTGTTCTTGGTAGTGGTTTTGTTTTGCTTGTTTTTAACAAGGTCTTGCTGTGTAGCCCAGGCTGGCCTTGAACTAAGCTCACTATACTCTCCAGACTGGCTTTGCATTTTGATCCTCCTAGTGAGGCTAACAGGCATGCAATGGCATGCCCATGTATATCATGTCTTTAAAAAATACTGCTTGGGGTTAGAGAGATTGCTCAGTGGTCAGGAGGACTGGCTGTTCTACTAGAGAACCTGGGCTCAGTTTCCAGCACTCACAGAGTGGCTCACAGTCATCTGTAACTCTAATTCCAGGGGCACTAGACACCCCTTTCTTACTGCCTCAGGCACCAGACATGCATGTGGCGCAGACAAGATACCCATACACATAAAATAAATTATTACAAAAAAATATAACCTGGGCTGGAGAGATGGCTCAGAGGTTTAAGAGTACTGACTGCTCTTCCAGAGGTCCTGAGTTCAATTCCCAGCAACCACATGGTGGCTCACAACAATCCATTATAAGATCTGGTGCCCTCTTCTGGTGTGAAGATATACATGGAAGCAGAATGTTGTATACATAATAAATAAATAAAATCTTTAAAAAAAATATATATATATAACCTAATTTTTAAAGTATTGTTTGTTTATAGAAACTCTGTACTTAATATTTAACAATATATATGATCAAAAGATGTTTTTGAGAAACTTTGCTTTTGTTTGACTTATGGTGGTGAACCTGTCTGGAAATAGGACACTTTGGAAAAACTGTGTAGAACTGGGGTTAGAATTTTTAATTCTATCAAAACCGAAGGCCTACAGCCTTCCCATGATTTTACTTACTTAGACCACAATGTGTTTGGGTTTCTTTGAAGCTACATAGAGAATATAAACCAGTTATTATAAAATGCTTTTTCTAAATCAAGGGATAATGTTAGTAACCAGTTTTTGGTTTGCAACCAAGTATGGCTCCTGACATGAAAGCATGTAGAAGGACTGTCTGTTTTTATGTAGTGTGGAAAATAATTACTCTTTTTAAATGTTTGTGAATGAGATATTAGAATGGAATCATGTAACACTGCCAAGTTTGTGTTCTAAAGGGCTCCCTGATTTATTTGAATTAATTTGTTTTTGTTTTTTGTTTTTTTACAAAGGTGCACGCTCCAAGCTGGGACGAAGACACAGCATGGAAAATATGGAACTTATGAAGTTAACACCAGAAAAGGTTGGCAGGTTTATGTTTTAAATTTCCATGAACTGTAATATTTCAGTAACTTTTAAGTAAAAGAAGTCAAGCCTTCTGCTGTCTGGGAGGCCAGCATGGGACTGATCCAGACCCCTGTACATGGATGTCAATGAGGAGGCCTCGGCACTCTATGGGGCCCCTGGTAGTGGATTAGTATTTTTCCCTGGTGTAAGAGGGGACTTACATCCCATGTGAAGGGATGCTCTCTCAGCCTGGACACAAGGGGGAGGGCCTAGGCCCGGCCCAGGATGATGTGGTGGACTTTGGGGAGCCCCTATGGAGGGCCCTACCCTCCCCTGGGGAGTGGAGGGGAGGAGGGATAGAGTGGGGGCTGGGGAGGTTGGGGGGAGGGGAGGGAGAAGGGATTGACATATGAAGCAAGCTTGTTCCTA